GATATTCTACAAACAACATGATCTTTTAGAGCTAAAATGTGGTGAAAATATTGGTAAGAGGGAAAACACACAAAAGAACTGACTTCAAAAAGACACATTTTTTTTTAAGTTGAGGTAACTATACTAAAAACATTCACTGTTATTTAAGAACTGCAAAAAACCAATACATTTTCGGTTACATGACTTCTTGTTCTTATGTCACTTCTAAAATAAAAGGCCACTGTCATTTCTTACTGCACGTACTCCAGCTCCTTTCCCTTCTTATGTGTCACTAAGTTTTCTACAACTTACTCATGTAAAACTCCTGGTAGAGAAGCCCCTGCCTCCTTCACCTGCATTTCCATTGCTACTGCCCAAGATCAGGTGGCCCAAGATCACGTCACACCAGGCTCTCTCAGCCTCTAGTCTTGTTACCTACAGTCCATCATCTTTACATCAGTCATGATTTTTCTGCAATTAAAACTGTGCTCATTTTCTGCTTAGTCTCACAGGGGCTTCTTTCAGTTTTCAGGCTAGTGCTCACAGCCTCCCACACTGGCCACTGTTTATCTCACCAGCCTCATCTGTTGCCACTCTTCCACACATCCTTCTCTCTAGATGATATGATCCACTAAGAGTCCTTGAAACCAAGCTCTGGTGCAGCTGCACTACCACAGCTTCCTTTACACGTAGAGTCATTGCCTCTTCTCTTCACAACAGTCTCTCCCAGCTTGTCAGGGTGACTCTTGGCTGAATTCATCTCTATTTCTTCAAAACGCAGCTCTCATACCACAATTTCCAACAGTTATCGTTTTACTTGTCACATTGCACTGTCTGCTATTAATCTGCAGTCTACTATTCCCACTCAAGACCATCTACTAGTGGACTTAATTGAATTTGTATTCTAAATATCTAGCTCAGTACCTTATAAGTACGGAACGCTAATTAGTCAATGAATTTCTCAATTAACTACTACTACCATTTTTATAATAAAATTAAATTTAAAAAACCCCTAAATGATAGATACAAATTTTGAATAAAAATGAAATCGAAAAAATAATTTTTATAGGGTTTCCTTGTTGCTATTTTAGAGGCTTTTTTTTCGTATTTGGGTTTGTTTGACATTAGAAAGACTAGGGAAGAAATAAGTGATATTTCCACAAGAGTTGGGACAATGGATTTCTGACAAAAATTGGTAATAGTGTAATGGCTACTGGCTTCAGGTACATCTAAAGGGAGTGATGGAGTTTGAAATAAAGGCAGTAACAGTTTGAGGTACCAAACAAATTGAGTGCTGAGAAAAATTGATCACTTGCATTAGACCATCATTTTGAAGGAAGTGGTGGAGCTTAAGGCTCTTGTTACTAGTAGCAAGATTGCAGGTAGGAGTGTGGCCAGAAAAAGAAAGACAAGCTCCATGACTAGTAGAGTCAAAGGACAAAGGAGGTAGGATTTATTTGAGGTTGAATGTCCAGTTCGGAATATTTGTTCTATTATCTGATTTCTACCTAGAGGTGACCCCAGAAAGTTGGATAAATCATTACAACACAATAAATAAAGACAGAAGGTAGGATGGACTACTAGTAGGAAAACATTCTTCCCCAGGACTCATGGTGGTTGTTATGTATCGTCTATTCGACTACAGCTCTTAGAGATTCTATTATGCACAGTATTTCTGAATTCTGCTCTATCCTGCTCCAACAGCATGGTTTCTAACACTCTTATCCTCTTTAATCCAGTTACTGTGTCAAACCATCTCATCCTAGGACTTCTTATTCTGTGCTGTTCCTCCATCCTTCCAAGTACGATGTCCTTCTTCAAGGACTGGTCCTTCCTGGCCACATGCTCACAGTGTGTGAGACAGAGCTTCAAAATCCTTGCCTCCAAGGAACAACTTGGTTTCACAACGTGAGACAGAGGTGAAGTAGAACAACCCATGGGGCCAGAGTCAAGGGTCTCTGCTTATGTTTATTGGTAGAGGTCTGGCGAGTAGACCTCATAACTGATAGGACTAAAAGGGCTGTCCAACAGTTTCCCAGAGCTATGAGGCTGAAGGGTAAAGGGTCTAAGAACATTCCTGATAAGCTAACTTCATTAAAGAATTATACCCTATTTCCTGGAGCTCTGCTAGCCTAGCGGCAAGAAGCTGTACTACAACCTGAAGTCACACAGTTTGAGTCCACCAGCTGCTGCGCCGGAGAAGAACGGGCAATCTCCTCTCAGGCAATTAACTGCCTCTAAAAACCCACCAGAGGGTCAGCTACGGGTTGGTTTTGACTCAACAGTACACAACAACAACAACAACAACAACAACCACCACAACAACAAACATCCTGTTTCTTAGCTGAATTGTAACTCATCACTCTCTAATAAACCACCTATTTGTGAGTATTGCTTGTGTGATCTGTGTAGCCATTCCAACTAATGAATGTGCTTAGTAGCAGATCAGTGAGAGCTTTGGGAGAGATAGTTTTAAAATTGCTATAAGTAGGTACAGGGAGCATGGGGCCAATCTGATTCTCATCGGAATTAGCGTCACATTGTTCATGTTATGGATGAGGTCTCTTATCCTGTGTGGAGTCAGTGGTGGTCAGATGCAGACGCCTCCATGTCAGTTGTACTATTTTCATAAGTACTGTTCTCCTATATGAGACCTTTGGTCGCCAATGTGTAGAATTGTGCTTCTAACCCAATGGCCAAGCCTCCTCGTCAATATCAATCCACCAGTGACCCTGCAGGGGAGAGAGATAAGCTATCTTCTTCTATGCCTCTGAAAAATTCTACTGAAGGGTCAGCTCTACATCAGTTCTGTCTCAGTGAATGACAATGAGTGAAAGACTCTCCAAATTACTCTGAAGTTGTTAGTCACTAAATTAAATTCCAGAAATGGTAACATATATTTGCAACAAATACAAAACAAGTGCATTTCCAATTTCAGAGAAGGTGGGTATAAGATTGTCCAAGAATTGTTTTTATTTAACATTTCCCACAGGTCTTATTGACCCTTAATAGTAAACAAAACAAATAGAGGGAAGACTTTTGATTTAAAATAATCTGATCAGTAATATGCTTACTAATTAAAAAAAGATAACTTTCTGAACTTGTTGCCATCAAGTCAATTCAAACTCATACAGATCCTCTGTTGGGTTTCCAAGGCTGTAAATCATAATGGGAAGAGACTTCCCATCTTCCCCAGAGCCATTGGTGGATTTAAACTTCCAGATATGCTTGATCTTTAGGGTCAATAGGGCAACTCCTTACACACTACTTCACCATGGTGATTTAAAAGTCACAGGTACATTATAACTGGGCTCTAAATTTCTGTGCTTGGTTGTAATATTTCCATCTTTATTTATGTTTCTGGAACATAGTATATGATCAGTTAGTATTTGTGGAATAAATTAAGTGAATAAAGACTATAAACTGCATTACACAATTGTGCAATAATAACAACCACCACATCCTGCAATTCATATAAAGTAAAGCTGAATTCACTCAAATACATGACCTACAAAAAGCAAACACAAGTACTCTAATAGCTCATTGAAACAGAAACAGTAGACTTGAACAATGACAAAGTAAATTTTATCACAGGTAGGAACATGTGAGTGACCATGATTGCTTGTCAATAGAGAAAAGCCGCTGAATGAAGAATTTTTTTCTTTCGGCTTTGGATCAGCAATCAGACTCATTCACCAATTATTGATTCATGAATAGCACCAGTTATTTACGTTGAATTTTCAAGAAGCGAATGCTTTGTAATTGTTTATGTTACAAGTATACTCAGCCATTTCTTTTCCTCTGCTGTGCTGGTCTTGTGAGTTTCCGCCAGGCAAAAGTAAAGATCGTTAACTGTATAGGCTCAAGTTGTTCTATCAGTGTTTTCTTTATTTAAGTAAGAAAATATTTTTCCCCTGTCCCCATGCCCTCCACCAAGTTTATAGTGGTACAAAGGTATCTGAATTGCAAACATATACTCATAAACTCAACCATATTGATTTTATAGAAAGATCAAAGTTATTTTTATTTTTTAAAATGAAACAACTTGAGAGGATTCATTTAAGGAATACCTACAATAACATTATTCTTGATTTACTTCCCCAGAGAACGTTGATGATAAAATATACACAAAGCCTACAATTTTAAGTGGAATTTTGCTGAAAATCATATAGTGATTGGAATAATTTGATCTAATATCTGAAAAAAACACGGCTTTCAATTTTCCTGAAGATTAGGGTCATTAAAGAATATGAAATAGTTCCAATATCGAAAAGAAAAATGGCATGGCCACATGATTTTAATATTTACTATGCAATTCCAGATAAGGAACAATTCAGACATTAAAAGGTCACAGGGCTGCATTCATTTAACGATTCTATTTTTATTTCCTCAAAGCTTCCTCCTATTTTCAATCATTCATATGAAATTATTCATAACTGATTTACTACACTGGACAGGAGTTATTTTCTCATTTTATTTCTGGCAAATATCTTCAAAGCTCATGTTCCATAGATACCAACATAGGGAATGAAATGAAATGGTCTTAGAGGGGGAAAAAGAGCAACAATCTGGAATTAAATAGTGCCAAGAGATGGATGAATGATTCAATTCATGAATATCATAAAAATCTCTTTAGAATTTTATTCTTAACTATATATCAACCTGTCATCAACCTGGGGGAAAAAATGAAAAAAATGAAGACATAATAGAAGTAATACTTCTCTGATGGTGATTGTGAAATGACTCTACATGAAGAATGGGACAGTGTGTTGACTCTTAAGCCAGCGGCATAGTGGATTGTCAAATCAAAGGCAGAGGGTTTGTATCCACCAGCTTCTCAGAAATCTCTCCTCATGCTGCTTAGAGCTTCCGAAAACCCTTCACAAGGTCAGCTACGAGTGGGTTTTTGACAGCAATGAGTTTCAGTTTTGTTGAAGCAACTATCGAACATCTTTCATAGTGGGTTGTTTATTTCCTTTATTATTTTGTCCCTCCCTTTAACTATTTTTTGTCCCTCTTACCTGATAGGTGCACCTTTGGCCTGTGCTGGTCTCAATAATACAGTTATTGTGGTGGCAGTTTCATTGAGAGAGGCATCAACTCCTTCGTAGTCAGGTAAAGTCGGAGCTGATATGTAAGGAAAGAGAAAAACATATTTAAATCAACTGACACTAATATCACAGTTTAAGAAGAAGAAATACTCATATTATGATTATCAAAGATGTATCTTATCTTGTAGGGTAATAAATACCACTGAATAGTAACTCTGGAAATCTAAGGTATTGGAAAGTATTGACATAATTTCTTATTGAATTTGATGATTTGTCATACACATTCCAACGACATTGTGAAGATACTGTAGCTTTACTTTCCTGAAACTTTGAAATCAGCAATAATGGCACAGGAATAGGGAGTAACAACACAGAATTTGGAGCTCTTAGTTACAGAGACGCACATAGAGTTGTGTATTGCAGGAGTTGAGAGAAAGACTACGTGGTGAGACAGTACCATTAATGATTAAATTGTTAGGAACACCCCAGCATTCTTTTCTGGGCCATTTTTAACACTATAAAAAAAAGTCTGTCAAGCAAGTGTGCTGAATGGGAAAAGAATCCTTAGATTATGAGTTTCCAGATTTTTAAAAGGAGAAAGTTAAAAGGAGAGACTGCCTAAACTTATATAAAAAACAACTTCAGAATGGCTTTGAATTATATCTTTGCGGAAAGAAATTATATTCAGTAAATTATGTGCATTATCAGAAAGAATTCAGAGTAAATGATATCTAACAAATTGAGGATTTTAGATTTAAAATTCAAGATATTTAATATCTTAAATGCATGATTCTTTAAAATAATTATGATTCAAACACTCTTTCATTAGGTCTATACCATAGATTTATTTTTGTAATCTTAAATAAATAGGATAAAACAAGTAAGCTGGAGTAAACTTATGGCATATTACAATGTGACTCCCAGCAATAATAAAGTTTCAATGATTTGCTGAAAGGAGAAATCAGATATAATCAATTTTATCAAGTACAAGCTATATATTTGTATCATGTAAAGTGAAATTTAGTTATATTCTAGTTTATCAATGTAAGTTCTCCTGCATATTGTTATTTTACAAATTTAGATGCCTATACATTCATGCAAAATTGCTAAGAGAGAAAGAAAAATACCTATTTGTTTAAGACTATCAAGAAATCAGCAAATTAGAACACAGATTTGGTATATGATATAGTATTAGCAAGCACATCCATTTAATAAAAGTCTGATGGTATATTAATTACCCACTCTTCAAAGACATAATAGGTCTATTTCTGTCTATCATAAACTTTGGAAAATTTTAATAAAAATTATTAAAAGAACATTGCAAATATAAGGTGACTATTTGAGATCTATTTGGGCATGGACTCAGAAAAAGTTAATATTTTATGTACAAATGAGTCTTTAGAACGTCTTCAATCATCCACAAACATTTGTATGTATGTGATTCTCCAGTGAATGCAATTGCAAAACATGAGCATGGTCAATCCTGTTTGCAATTTATGAATTTGCATACCTGAAATATTGGTTGTCACATTAATGGCTGTGGCTGGTCCAAAACCTTTAACTGTGCTGGCTCTTATGAAAAACTGGTAAGTAGTCCCTGGGTGAAGATGCATAAAGACATGGTGTGTACTGTTCCATAAATTTGATACTGTCTGGGGTGGTCCGGCCACGGGAACCGCAGGATCGAATGATCTTATGCTGCTATAGCTGACCTGTTTTAAGAAATAAATCTCCTGTTACACATCTAATGTAAATCATGTTAAATCATAAATAAATCCTTCTTAAATAAGATAATTTGCTAAAAAGCATCTCTCTGCTGTCAAATACAAAAATCTGTTTCACTCTATTCCTTCTCATTTTCTATAGTTATTTTTTAAACTCTTTGTTCATTTATTCACCCATATATAAATCTGGTTTTATTTGACCAGACCAATATATAACCTGTCATTTGCCTTAAAAAAGCATGAAATAATTCACTAATATACTTAAATATTAATACATATTCATACTAATTCTTACAATTAGAACATCGATGAATATTCTTTGAGTCACACATATTATAAAACTATGCTAGTGCGTCCCGCTCCCATTTTGGACCCCATAACGAAGTCAAATGAAATTCAGTGCTTTTGAATTGATTCTGACTCATACACACCCTGAAGGACAGGGCAGAATTGCCTTAGTGGGGTTTTTAAGGCTATAAATCTTTATGGATTGATCGTCACAGTCACATCCTTCTCCCACAGAGCAACTGATGAGTTTTAAATGCAAACCCTCTAGTTAGAAGAGAACTCAGGAGGAGTTTTAGGGAGTTAGGTTGCCAACCCAAACGTGAGGAGGTCAATTTCACCTATTACTCCCTGAGGGAAAGAGGAGCATTCTCCTCCTGGGCAGTTACAGCCTCTGAAAACCTGCAACAGTGTTAGTTTTGAGTTGGCTCCAAATTGACAGCAAAGTGAGAAGGGAGTACAAGTCAAAGACTTAAACTGCTGTTTCATTAGGAATCTGGAAGCATTCAATAGCCACGAGAAATTTAGGCATTTAATGGTAGAATTACACTGAGTTTTGCACAGTTTATCAGTGTTTTATACAGTTTAAAGTTAGGTAATGATTTATGTTCAGAGTTTAATTGAAGCTTTGGATTAGTTGGGTAAGTAATGTGTCTTTGCGGTTTTTTTTTTTTTAGATTTCTTCCATACTCTGAAAGCACTAATAATATTCAACATTCTTACCTAAACCACAGTCTGATATACAAGTGTCTTAATTTTACACACGTAGCTTTTATTGCAACCATCAGTGAGTCTGACAAGGCCAAATCTGTTTAAAAAGTGCAGTTAAATTTAGGAATCTGAAAATTATAGTTATCAGACAACACTCTTTTTGAGTCTCAATCTTGGGATCGATGGATTTGTTAATCAAAACAGAGGACACTGCTAGAGATTTTAATCCTCTAATACTGACTCTTCCACCATTTCCCTCAAACTTTTCCTCTGTCCCCCCTCTTCTCTCTTCAATTCATATTTCAGTTATTTTTCTGATTCTCCCAATACCTCGTATTGAGTGATGATTCCATTTGGATCCAAAGGTTCTTTCCAGTTCAAGAAAATCTTATTTTCAAAGGATGTTCCTTTAAGAGACTTGGCTGGTACAGGTCCTGGCACTACAAAAACATATAATTTGTTACTGTTGTTGTTAGAAGCTCTTCACATTAGAAATGTGACAGCCTAAATAAACCAGACATTAAAAAAATTTAAGAATGTGCTTTTTAAAGAAAAATAAGCTGAATGATGAGCCTTCTGACATTTTTTTGATATTTGAGAAATTAAAGTCAATCTGTAAGCCTCTAACACAGGAAATTTGTAAATGCAAAGTTAGTTTTATTCAAAAGAATATTCTATTACCTCAGAGAATTGAATAAATTGTACAGTGTAGTTTTCTCTGTTGTATACCTCTAATAACACGAGGATCTCATTTGTAATTTGTTTCAAGAACAGAGCTCTATTTCCCGGAAAGATTTTTTTGAAGATTATGATAAGCCCCTAAAGAGTTTCCATAAACAAAGTTCATAAAATAATGAATTAGAGTAATAATTAACACTGCTTGGAATAAAAAAATCAAATCACATAGCACTGAACTGAAAAGCTCCTTAACAGTCAACTTGACTTATGAAACAGTAATTATTAAATTTATATAAACAGACTGTTGGAGACAACAAGTTCTACAAAATATTCTTAGAATTAATGGTTTCATTGTCATTCCCTTAGTCTTTTAAATAAAATGGCATTCTTTTGAAGCTCTGAAGTAGATATGTTAAAGCATCAGACTTGCTTACAAAGAAATAATCAACATAGGAGGTCTGAGGTATTCCCAGGTATGACATGACTTAAGAAGCCTGCACTATTTATTTGCAAATGTCCTTCCTATAACCCTCAACATTCATGGGACACTGGGTACTTTTGCCACCTTCAATTGAAAAAGTACAAGATTCAAGATTCATTTTATACTGTATGTTTTCCTTTTACATACATGTATATAAATGTCTACTTGGAATATTTATTCAAATAAATAGTTATAAATAGTGCTTAGTTCTGAGAAATGGAAAGAGGAATATATCCTACATATTTAGAAAAGGTAAAGAACTAACAAATATTTTATAAAATATACTACTACATATTCTAATTTGCTGCAAAACCTGTTTCCTTTGAAAATACCAACTCTAATATTGTGCAAGTATGGTTTTTAATTAATATTTTCCTTAATCTAACATTTCAGTGAACTTCACACATGACATTATCAAGAAATGCAGTTTCAAAGTATTGAGCAATTTGGTGAGGATGGGAATAAATTAAAAATCATTGGATCAAAGGAAACGCTTTGCACTGTGTCTAGCAGCATCAAGAAATTGCGAATGATATGTTACAAAAGTAAGATTTATTTCATCTATGAGGAGACTATGAATGATTTTATGACTTCTGGGACAGCCGACATAATTTGGCATGTTTGTAATAAATTCAGGGAGGAAAAGAACTATAAACAGGAGATGTCAATACAAAACTTCTGAAGATTTGTTCATACATCTCTCATTAGAAAGGTTGGAAAGAAGTTACCCTGAAGGCTTGGACTCCCTCTTTGTTCAAGACAAGTGTGTCCTCACAGCCCCTCTGTGCAAACTACGGCATTAGCTGAGGTTGCCATGGACGTTTGTTTATTGTCTCAGGCAATATCTGACTTTCCCCCCTTCCACTCAAGCAGTGTAAGCCTCTGGAAACAATTAGGGAAAAACAAACCTCAACATTTAGATATCTCTCATGGAAGTGATGGAGGGATGAGGGAAACCTCCCCCAAAATGGATAACTATTATTATATTAGTGTTGTTGTATAATAGTGAGTTGGAACTGACCCATAGCTGACCCTCCAGTGGGTTGTCAGAGTCAATTAACTGCACGAATGACTTTGCTCATCCTTCTTCCCTGGAGCAGCTGTTAGCCTCGAGCTTCCTGCCTTTAGGGTTTCAGCACAGCTTCTTGCTACTGGGACACCAGAGCTCCATTATATTATTAAAAATGTAATAATTTAAAAAATGTTATTAAATTTATATTATATTTAGTAATTTTATTATTAAAAAAGTAATAACTTTCAAGTATTAAAATGATTAACACCTATGTTCACTCAACACTATGTGATCTGCAAATATTATTAAATGGGAAGAGGTTTTAAATTGTGCACAAATGTTGTTGCAAGGTACCTTTGAAGTAGGTTACATATTCTTAGGGAGCCTACATATAACAGAATTAACTGTTCTTCATTCCTGTGCCATCGTGGCCAGGAGGTAAGAAGCTGTGCTACAATCACAAAAGTATGTGGTTCAAATCCACCCACTGCTTTATAGGAGGAAGGATAGACAAACTCCTGTCAAGGGGTTCACTGCCTCTGAAAACCTGCGGGAGGGTCAGCGATGGGTCAGTTCTGACTTGATGGCATACAACAACAGCAACATGTCATCCTCATAGTTTTTTTTTTCTTGCAGCCACTGTATTAGTCCATCTCCTGGAGGGATTTCTTGATCATTGATTGACCTCTACTTTACCAAGCTTGATGTTTCCAGAGACTAGCTTTTATTCATAACATATATAAAATACTTGAAAAAAAACCCTCTCTACAGGAGTACTTTAAAATGTTTGCATAATTCTCCACCAAAAGGGGCAGAATCAGAGAGCAGCACAGCTTCTTCAGTATTTGTGCATTTCTAGGCTTTTCTTAATCAGATTCCACTATGCCTATAGGATTCATTTTAAGTACATACAGGTAATATTGTAAGAGGGTAAAGTTGTTTGTCAGGAAACTTTGGGAAATTGAGTGATTAGGGCAGATAATGACCTATAAATGAACCACAACACAGACTCATAACAAAGAGGACAAGTCAGAGTATGTGTCAGAGACATATGAGAGTCACCAGCAGCACATTAAGGAGTCCGGGAAGTACAATGGTTGTGAGGTGATAACTAATAAATGAAAAGATGGCAGTTGGAACCCACTGCTAACTCCATTGGGGGAGGGGGCGGAGATCTGTTCCCAGCACAGAAAACCCTCTGGACAATTCTGCTCCATCTTATAGGGTCCTTATGAGGTGGAACTGACTGAACGGTACACGACAAAAACAACATTCACAATATTCAAAGAAATGCAAAGGCAGATATAGACAGTGTCTACACTTCCTTATGATTTCTCTACTTACAACATGACATTAAGGGGACTCTTATGGCAGTCTACAGATAGCCAGGTGATGTCACTCCAGATTTTCACATCAACAACTTTGAAAGGACATTGACTGCTGACTTTGGGTCCCCTGACTATGAGTTACTTAAGAGCTGTTTCAATGATTTTTTTTTTTTTGAGTGCAGGAACTGTCTCTAAAATGAGCTCTCAAAATAAGAAGGAAGGTAAATTAAATGTGAATTGGGCAAGATTATATGAAACAAGCATTTTAGTGTCTAAAATGTAATAAATGTATATTTAATAATAGCTTAGAAGTCTCAAAAATATCCCTACACAAGCTATTTTGCTGAGTTAACTTCCTAAATTGATTTTTATGAATGCTAGAATAAAAAATGAAAACAAAAGTTTCTACAAAAAATGTTCTCTCCATGCGTTAAAAAAATGTGCGCAATAAATTAAATATAAATTCTACCTTAGGGTTCTGGTAGGAAATCATGCTAGCTTTGTTCTGATGATTTATGGATGCACCCTGAATTCTATTCATGAAATCAAACCTTTTTATTAGATGGCTGATAATGGGGTTTTTTTTTAATGTATGTTGGGCAGCAGCAATTTATTAAGACTGACTTAATCAGATTGTCATATTCCATAGACTTTTGCAACAATAGATTATGATTTAGGTATTCTGTGTCCTACTAACCAGAAACAGTAAAGACACATAAAGTGTTGTCTGTAGGCACTGATGCTTACTTACATGGGCAGATAGGAAAGACTTCATGGAAAATGTGGGATTTTAATCATGAAGTTTTAAATATACAACAAAAAGAACAACAAACTCAATAACTCACTCAATTTTTTTCAGTAAAAATTGTATTTGTGATAACATCAAATAATAATCTTATGAAATTTATTAAAATCCAGCAAACTTTTAAAGTAAAGGTTAAGATGAACCAGCACTGCAAAGAATACTGAAATGGAAATACATAGCTAATTGGATACTACTCTTTGAAGCCTAGCTCTGGATAAAATAAATGGCAGTCTTGAGTTTGAGCAATCCAGTGCATAATTTAAAAATCCATTTCAGTATATTCTCTGATTAATAATTTAATAATGTGTATACTCAGAAATACAACATAAAATTGAATGCAATATGAGGAAAATTATATAAAGCTGGCCACAATTGTTGGGAATAAAAGGCAGGTTGGACAACTATAACAGAGAATAGTCACTATGCAAATGAAATGCCTTTTAAAAATGTGACTGGCTAAAGCAGTACAAAACTCATGTAACTGATGCTAAAATTACCAATTAAAAATAATCTAAAATTATATTTTTAGACAATAAAACATATGCTTACACTCTACTAAAATCATGAGCTATAAGTTTTGTGGTGGCATGCAGATTTTTAGTATCTACTCTACTTTCTGTGGTGAGAAATGGAAATTGTTTCCAAACTTCTGGATCTATGCTCAGGTGTCCAAGTCTATTACTCACGAATGAAATATGTATTCCTAAGCATTCGTCTTTGCATGAGCATGCGTTTTTATAAAAGGGTAAGATTTGCTATCTAAAAATATCACTACTGGTTCAATTAAGTACAAGTTCAAATGCTGAGAAGGTTATCTATCTCAAAACAGACATTGTAACATTTATCATAAAAATATATGAAGCATATACTTGAAAAATTTAGGAATTGAAGAAAAATTCCACTCATACAGTTAGGACTATAATTGTTCCTGTCAGAGTCTGGGCTAACTCAGGTTAAAGAACTCTCACTTCCTCTTATCATAGTGGAAACAATCAGAACAAATCAAGGTCAGTTCTACTTTTCAGAGGGGGAAGGCTTGAAATAAGAAGAAACATTTCTGGAAACGATAGCCTATTAGTCATTTCATGGCAATTTCATACTTGGTGGGCACTAAACTATAGATCTGACCCCAAAGTTCAGAACGTGAAGGAAGTTGGGAATACTTGGGTAAGAAATACATCGTGTTTTCTGAAACACAAATAAAAATGTAGCCATGCTGTCAAGCTATTTAAGTAGAAGGAATTTCAGAAAGGGATGGAACTTGAGAGATCATCCAGTTTAAACCCTTCATTTAGAGATGAGAAACAGAAAGCCAGAGAGATGAAAGTATTTACTGAGGTTACAGAGGTATTAGAGTCAGGTCTTAGAGCTCATGATTCCTATCTTCCAGTTCAGATTGGCCTGAGCTTACCATATAGCATACTTAAAAAATTCATGATATCATTCATAAAGGAATATTTTTAAAATGAAATTTACATCAAAAGAGCATATATCAGCATCTTCAGGATATTATTAATTATATTAATCAGGAAAAAATATCCATATTCATATTGATCATATACTGCTATAACATATATGTGCATAACTTAATGCTAATATAGATGTTTCTTTCTATTACTTAATAATTCAGAAGTGGCATATAAGCAAGTAGATACAGTACAGTTATTTGAATGTGAATAGCTTTTTCACTAATATGAGATGTATAAAAGACAAGAATATTGTTTTTGAATATATGGTAGATGAAAGTACTAGTATTGTTTTGTTAAATGAAAAAAATCAGCATTTTTAGAAGACCTAAGTGTATATTACAATATGTAATTGATAAGAAAAGGCCATGCATAGTGAAACTGACCTTTGAGAATTTTAATGCAAAAAGTATCAAACTTTTATTGTAATTCCTACTTCAATGATATATAAAAAGAGAAGAAAAAAATACTTTTAATTTAGTATTTGGATACTTTTGTAAAGAAAGTTAAGTAATTTTTATTAAGTCAAACTCCTGTCAATTTTCTGCTTAGATTTCAGGGTCCATTATTATTTTTAGGTAATAGAGAGAGATGTTAAGCAAACTGCAGAATTCTCTCTTTTAAGTAAAAGAGACTGAACATACCATCTTCATCCGTCTGAATGATTGTCTCTTCACTCTCCTTCCTCCCTTCAGGATTGGTTAGGATCATCTTGAGGCTGACGTTTGTATAAGGTGGCAGATGGCTCACGACATGCTGAGGGGCTTTGGGGTCCATGTCCAAACAGTCTGCCTTGCTTTCATTGTGACCACGAAAATAATGGTAGCAGATAGTGACATTAAATGTGTGGCAACGAGTAATGTTGTATCCCAAGGATTCCCAGTCCACAGCAATACGTCTTGCCTGTATCTCAGCTATCTTTAAAGTCTTTGGGGTTCTCATTGGTTCTGAAAGAGAAAGAATTTAGACATTAATCAAGATCACTTATGAATAATTTTGGGGGAAAAAAACAACCAAAACCCAAAACACAAACAGCAAATATGACACAACCAATGCAAATCACGTAAAAAGTGGAAATTCTCTCTTCGTGTCTCTTATTCTATTTATTCTCAATATTATCCAGGTAACATTAAATCAGGTAGAATTATTTACAAATGAGAAGATAAAGAAAATGTATTCAACAATGTGTAGTAGTGTGTAAAAAAGTTGGTGAGTATCTGAAACCAGGACTATAATGTTTAGATTTTTTCTGTTGTTCCTCTGAACCCCTTGTCTTTATAGTCTTTTGGCCTTATTGAGCAAATGAATTGGCTAATATGGATAAGAGGCAACACACGTTCTGCTCTATGATTTGTCATGTCATCAAGCTTTGCTGTACATTAATTGCTCTAATTGTTGTATTAAACTATCCTCTACAAAAATTGATGTGGATATTAATTACCATTTATATTCCCGTAATGATGTTGTTCATCAAAGCAAAAAGGAAAAAAAAGAGAAAAATGTCATGAACACATGTGGACACCCACATTGTTATCTCCCTTTTTTATTTGTTTCTGACTTTCATTAAGAAACACACATGTCTGGCAATCCTTTGACTATCCCCCAGACCAAACTGGGAGGGGAATTTTCAATCAACTGGAAAATACTGGCACAGTTAGACACTCCAAATACCGGCGGCCATCCATCACTGTTTCCCAAGTGTATTCTTTCCTCATGCAAGACCAACTTAAGTAGTTTAACTTAATAAAAATAATTGCTTTATGAAAGTCATGTTTAAGATGATGTCTACAAAGCAAAGAAATCAACACACAGCAAAATCGCGATATGTTGATTTGACCAGTAGAATAAAGTCAAAACTCAATTTTTGAGATTAAATGTTCAATTCTGTTAAAATAATTAGCACAGTATACATATGATAAGTAAAAATTGGGATTCTAGTTCAATGTTTGACATACACATGGTTGTTTAAAACCACAAGGCTATTAAATTACACAAACACAATTTTTAGTAGAATCTACTGTTTAGATATATAGATGTTGTCTATCAAATTTTTGACATTTCACAGATTAGTCTTATAACTTTTGTTTTATGTGCTCTGTTGTTGTTATGTGCCAACTCGCTTGTGGTTCATAGCAACCTTATTCGCAACAGCCCTATACCCTGCTCTATCCTGTGCCAATCTTTCATTACCCCAGTCACTGAATCAATCCATCTCATCAGGGGTCTTCCTCTCTTGTTTTGTCCCTCTACAAGGACTGGTCCCTCCTTGCCCTTGCAACATATCCAAAGTATGTCAGATGGAGCTTCAGCATATTTGCATCCAAGGAGCAGACTGGTTTCTCCTTTTCTGGGACAAATTTGTTTGTTCTTCTAACTGCCCATGGTATAGTGGAGGGGGAAAAAATATGGTTTTGTCAAAACTTAAAAAAATAAATCTCTCTGATGTGGCTCTATACTAACATTCTCCTTACTAGGGGAACGGGTAAGATGATGATATGTGTAGGTTAATTCAGCAAAATGCTGAAAACTGTCCTGAACATCATAGTTGATTAGTCAATCAAATGAGCAGCCAATCATAGCTAGGAACAGCAAATAAATTCTCAGACAAGTTGTCAATATGTTGCTCTTAAGACAGTAGACACATTCAGGTGCCCTGTTTGAGGAAGATCACACTTAAGTCTAAAAACGTTTAAAATGGAAAATATAAAATATATCAAGAGAGTACCTAAAGTATATGAGTGAAATTTACAGTTAAGAAATAGAAGAAAACAGCAATATATATTTACTACTCTATTATTTATTCTAGCATTTCTTCTTCCTCAATTTTTCATTATCTGCATAATAGATCATGATTGTCTGATTAAAAATGGCCCATGGCCATCCATCTCAGTTTACTAGTGCCTAAAACGTTAATGTTCATGTATTCTACCTCATTTTCTACAACCTCCAGCTTTCCTACATTCATATTTCATACAGTCCACATGTCAATTTCCAAATGCTTGCAGCTGTTATACCAGGAAACTCTAATGCCAACAAGGAGAAACTGAGGAAGAATGGAGCTACATTCATAGTTAAAATTAACATTTTAAGATCTATCCTAAATTACAATGCTGTGAGGAATAAAATACTATTCATATGCATATAAGGAAGATTTATTAATGAGTATTTTCAAATAAATGCACCAACACCTAAAGACAAAAAAGAAGGAAATTTAAGATTTCTACCAAATTTTACAGACCAAAATTGGCCAAACATGCAATCAAGATGAATGCAAAAGCTGGCAAAAATGAGGAGGGAATGGTTGTCACAGAGAATGGTCCCTTGGTGACAGAAATTAGGCCAGACATAGAATGACCGACTTTTGTATTTTCAGTGATTTATTCAAAGCAAATAGATCTTTTTAATAGCACAAAATGTGATTTCACACATGGACTCACGTGGTGAACTGCATAGGAAAGAGATTGGCTATATCTATGGAAAGAATTGTAGGAGAAAGTATCAGCAGTCAAAACCAGGCCATGTACTGACTATGGAACAGATCATTAATAGCTCATGTGGAAGCTCCTAGTGAAGCTGAAGAAAAACTAGTCCACAAGAACAAAAATACAACTTTGAGTCTGTTCCACCTGAATAAAAAATAATTTCCAGAATAAAACTGAACAGTAAAAATCAAAGACCTCATGAGTTGTGGGATGAGATCAAAGACAGCAAATGATCATTACAAAGATAGAGGAGGAAGAAAAGACCAAAATGAAAGTCTGGAAAGGTTATGAGAATTTTATTAGAGCAGAGAGAAGCCAAATGAGTGGGTAGAATGCTGAAATGAAAGAAATGAACAAATATTTCCTTAAAGGGCAGGTCGAAAAGACAAAACAAAATATTTTAATTGAATGTGCAAAGAGTTGGAGTTGAAGAATAAAAAGAGAAGAACTCACTCAGCTTTCTAAAGTTGAAAGAATTGAAAAACAAATTCAAGGCTTACATGCAATAGGCAAAATCTTGAATGATCTATGAAGATGGAAAGAATACACAGAGTCAATGAACTAATAAAATGTACTGACTGACATTGAAAAATATCAGGAAGTATCATATGAACAAGAGTCAATGGTGATGACGGAAGACTTGCAAGCTGCACTGAAAGCTTTGGCAAAAAAATAATGCCTCACGAATCAGTGAGACACCGGTTGACGAGGCTCAACTAAAAAATGCAGCTCTGCACATGCTCTGCAGCGTGTACAAGGAAATTTGGAGGACAGCTACCTGGTCAACTGACTAGAAGGGAGCTATTTTTTCCCATTTCCATGAAAGATGATCTAACAGAATATGGAAATTATTACTATATTATTAATCACATGCAAGCAAAATACTGAAGATAATCCAAAAATGACCAGAGAAGTACATAGATATAAACTTCCGGAAGTTCAAGTTAGATTTAAAAGAGGCCATGGCACCAGGGATATCACTGTAATGTCAGATGGATCCTGACTAAAAGCAGAGAATACCAGAGAAAAAGTCCATTTATGTTTTATTGACTGTGCAAAGGGATTTGACTGTGAGAAGACTGGGAATCTCAGAACACTTACTTGTGATAATGCAAAACCTATGCCGGACCAAGAAGCTCTTTTCTGAGCAAAGCAAGGAAACACTGTAAGGTTTTACATCAGACAAATCATTCAAGAAGCTGGAATCTATGAAGAAGAATTGGATTGGCATCAGAATTGGAGGAAGACTCATCAACAACCTGAGTTATACAGATGACACAACCTTGCTTACTGAAGTGAGAAAAACTTGACACACTTACCACAGAGGACAAACAGTACAGCCTCAATATAAATTGCGTGTAACATCAAGAAGACAAAAATCTAAAACAAACAGAGAAAAGGTTGAAATTGCCAATGATTTCATCTTTCTTGGATCCATAATCAAGAACCTTGGTATCAGCAGTCAGGAAATCAGGAATTGGGCCAATCTACTGTCAGTGATCTCTCCAAAATGATGGAGAAGCAATGATGTCAGTCTTCAGACTAAGGTGCACCTGATTCAGCCTCTCGAATAATGTTATCATATCGATTGGATATATATGGAGAGAGAATACAACCCTGGCACACTTCCTTCCCAAATCCAAGCCAAGCAGTGTTCCCCTGCTCGGTTCACACTACAGCCTCCTGGTCCAGGTATAGCTCCCACATGAGCACAATCAAGTGCTCTGGGATTCCCATTCTTCTCAGTGTAAGCCACAACTTGTTATAATCCACACATTTCCATTTTTATTGAGGTGGGACTTCCTCTGGTATATATATGACTTTGTTGAATTCTATTAGGTCTGATAAGTGCTGGCAACTATACACAAGTGGCTTTTATATTACAGTCTTTATAAACAGGAATGACCTCAGACTGTTCTAATAGTATGAATGTCATTGGAAGAAAATTCTATCCAAGAACTCAGTAATAAAATAGCCTAAATTATTCACTGTGCTTGACAATTAATTCCATTATTATTTTGGTAGATGAAAACATACAGATAAATATTTTCCATTTCTGAATCAGCATTTAGAATCCACTAGTTGCTTCATGGGAGAAAGATAGACAATCTCCTTCCATGCAATATACTGCCTCTGAAGACCCTCTGGAGAATAAGCTTTGGGTTGTTTCCAACCTGATGGAACATTATAACAACAACAAATCATACTAATTACTTGAATTGTTATAGAAAACAGCAGAGATACTGTTTGGAATCTGTTATGTTTACATGTAAAGGAGCACTGCTGGCATCTTTTATACTGTTTCTAACTGAAAGGTTAGCAGTTCAAATTTACCAGCTGTACCACTGGAGAAAGGAGGGCAGTCTCTTCCTTTAAAGATTTAAATTTTTGGAAATGAAAAGTTCCAATGATTCAGAACTGACTAACTGGTAGTGGGGTTTTTATATGTTACATATGCATTGTGT